GTCTGTTCAGATTTTCTACTTCTTCCTATTTCAGTCTTGATAGGTTGTGTGTTTCTAGAAATGTAGTCATTTCTTTTAGTTTATGTAATTTCTTGACATATAATTGTTCATAGTAGTCTTATAATTCTAGGTATTTCTGTAGTATCAGTTGTAATATCTCCTCTTTCATGTTTAATTTATTTCTTTGAGCCTTCTCTTTTTTTTTCTGTAATTAGTCTAGGTAGTCTAGCTAAAGGCTTAAATTTTGTTTCTTTTTTCAAAGAAGCAGCTCTTGGTTTTGTTGATCCTTTCTATTGATTTTTTGGTCTCTATTTCATTTATTTCTGCTCTGATATTTATTTCCTTCCTTTTGCTAACTTCAGGCTTACTTTGTTTTTCTTTTTTTAGTTCCTTGAGGTATAAAGTTACGTTATTTAAGATCTTTCTCATTTCTCAGTATATGTGTTTGTAGTTATAAACTTCCTCCTTGGATCTACTTTTATGCATCCCATAACATTTGATATGTTGTGTTTTCAAGACAATTTTTTATTTCCCTTTTGATTTCTTCTTTGATCCAAAAGTTGTTTAGAAGTGTGTTTAGTTTCACATGTTTGTAGATCTTTTTACTTTCCTCTTGTTGATTTCTAATTTCATACGATTGTGGTCAGAGAAGATAGTTGGTATGATTTCAACTTTCTTAAATTTGCTAAGATTTGTTTTTGTGGCCTAACATGTGATTTATCCTGGAGAATGTTCCAAGTGCACTTGAGAAGAATGTATATTCTGCTGCTGTTGGGTATAATGTTCTGTATATGCCTGCTAAGTCCATTTGTTCTAAAGCCAGGTTCAACAGCAACAATTTCTTGTTGACCTTCTGTCTGGGTGATTATCCATTGCTGATGGTGGGCTATTAGAGTCCCCTACAATTACTGTATTATTGTCTATTTCTCCCTAATTGCTTAATATGTTTTGAAGTTCCAATGTTGGTAGCAAGCATGTATATTTATGATTGCTGTATCTTCTTGATATAGTGGCCCTTTTGTCATTATATAATGACCTTCTTTGTCTCTTGTGACCCTTTTGGCTTGAAGTCTATTCTGTCTGATATAAGTACGGTTACGCTTGCCTTCTTTTCATTTCTGTTTGCTTGGAATATCATTTTGCATTCCTTCACTTTGAACCTGTATGTGTCTCTAGAGCTAAAGTGAGTCCCGTAGGCAGCATATTTGCTTTTTTATCCATCCAGCCACTGTGTGCCTTTTGATCGGTGAGTTCAATCCATTTTCGCTGAGGGTGATTGCTAACATGTAAGCACTTACTACTGGCCTTTTTATCTTCTGCCTTCTGGTTATTTTGTCTTTCCATGTTTCTTTTTCTTTGTTTCCGTTGACTTTTGCCAGTTGGTGGTTTTCCAGGATGATTTGCTCGTTCTCCCCCCGTTTATGTTTATGTCTCTGCTCTAGATTTTTGCCATGTAGTTACCATGGGGTTTACATAAAGCATCTCATAGAAAAAAAACCAGTCTTTTCTCTGCTGATAGCCTTTACTTTTCTTCACTTATCATCCTTTTACTCCTCTCCTCTTATATTTCTGATATCACAAATCACCTCTTTGTAGGCTATGATTTCATCACCAAGTTGTAGAAGTCATAGTTATTTTAATGCTCCTTTCCTTTAACATTTAGGATATAGTTAAGAGTTTAATATACTATTCCAAAAAAGAGTTAAAAGAGTTACAATATTCTAATAAAGAGTTACAATATTCTAATTCCCACGGCTTGTTTATCACCTTAATCAGAATTTTGTGTGCTTCCATTTTTGTTTGTTTGTTTGTTTCAGCTTAAAGAGCTCCTTTCAACATTTCTTGTAAGGCAGGTCTAGTGGGGGTGAACTCCCTCAGCTTTTGTTTTTCTGGGAGTCTTTATTTCTTTTTCACATCTGAAAAGTAACTTTGCCAGAGAGTATTCTTGGCTGCCAGCCTACATTTTTATTGTTCCTTCACCCTTTTACTCATTTCCTTATGAAAGATGTATTTCATGTGACTGAGGAAATAAATAATGAACCACCCCAAACTATGAACCAAATAAATAAGTGAATTGCTCAAAGAAACAGCACTTGATTGTTAACACAAGAAGAACTGAAATAGGGCCTCTGATTTTTTACTGCAGGATCTATTTAGCCATGTATCATTGTTCTGTTCACTTTCTACTTCTCTGAAAAGTAGAAGTTACTTCTAACATTGCTGCTAAATGATGATGAATATATATATATTTTACATGTTACCAACCATTTCTATTTTGGGAGCATGTGAATTTTTCCCTTCATTTGGATGTTTAGCAGTGTGTAGACTAAAAGTTAAGTCTGTAGCATATTAACACACTGATATTTGATAAAGTCTATTTGCTTATTCAAGTTGAATTCACTCCTGAAAAATTTCTCCAGGACAATGTAAAAGATAGTAGCCAGGCTGACTTTTAATTTTTTTCGTAAATTTTTTTTCATTCTTTTCTTTTAGTTAATGAAAAGGAAGTTTAATAGGTACAAATAAGATAGAAAAAAATTTTCTTACAGACTGGTTAGAGGTAATGTTATTCAGAAGTTGTCTTTCAAACCTGAAAGACCTAGCTTGCTTTATTATTTTTTTACATTATCAGAAAAGAATGTTTTGCCACAAATGAATAATGGACAGAGACATGTCATTGGCATGTTTACAATTAGGAAATATATAAAACCCACTTACGCTTGATAAAAAAAATAGTTAAAGGTGATTAGAATATTTACTTTAAAGTAAGGCAAAAGCCAATCCGGTTACAGCTGAGATTTTAATTGTCATACTTTCAGATTTATGAGTGGGGCAATTAAATGCTTAAAACAGTCTGTTGTTGATCTGTACTTCTGAAACAAATAATGCAATATATGTTAAGGGAAAAAAAAAGAAGAAGATAGCAGGAGGGGAAGAATGAAGGGGAGTAAGTCAGAGGGGGAGACGAACCATGAGAGACGATGGACTCTGAAAAAACAAACTGAGGGTTCTAGAGGGGAGGGGGGTGGAGGGATGGGTTAGCCTGGTGATGGGTATTAACGAGGGCACATTCTGCATGGAGCACTGGGTGTTATGCACAAACAATGAATCATGGAACACTACATCAAAAACTAAGGATGTAATGTATGGTGATTAACATAACAATAAAAAATAAAAAAACAGTCTGTTGTTTTCATTTGGTAAGACTATGAAAAAAAGAAAAACTGTGGCTATATGTCGCTATGTTGTTATATTTCGGCACAAATTATGAAGTTGTGCCCCCACTCACAGCAATAAAACGCACCAAAACAAACAAAAAGCAAACCAAATAGACTTCCTCAGCTGATACAAACTTCAGTGTCTTTTCTCAGGGGTTTTCCATTTTTTTTTCATTCTTAAAAATTTAATTATAACCTGGATGTTTGAACTATTTCTTCTGTCTCTGATGACTTTTCATTAGAATGCTTGACAGCAGTGTCAGCTCTGGCATATTGTAAGTACAATAAAAGAACTGTTCTTTCACTAACAACTGAAATGGGAGATTAATAACCCAAATGCAAAATTTCAGGTGAGTTTTCCGTTCTTTATCATTCTTTTAGTTTTCTCTAACTTTTGCATTTCCAAGATACTTTAGATTCTCCATGTTAATTCCCTCCCCCCTGGCCACAAAGGAGCTTAATTTTGTTCCTGGGACTTCATGGAATGAAGGTTTTGTCAATCCTAAGAAATCATCATCTCATACTAACATAAGTCCATAAACTTGACCTTATTCTCCTTCTCAATAATGGAAAAATCAGGCAAAACCTATCTATTATGTTTAAAAATCTTCCCCAAGTAAGGTTGACATCTAAAATAAAATCTCAAACAAAATACACAATAAATGGAGGAAAATAAAAAGGAGAGATAGAAAACATGTAAAAGTATATGGGTAAAAACCTATGAATATTCAAGGGATGTACCATATTTTAAAGTAAAAGTGTTTTAATAGTGTCTCCTGCAGCTTAAAATGCTTTTTGACTGTCATTATGGGAGACCACTTTCTGGGAGAAACATGCTTTTGCAATCCTACAGCCATTTGCATAAGGAAGCTGCACATTATGCATATGTGGGGTTGGCAACATGAAAAATATTCAAGCAAGAGAGAGCACGCTTAATCATTTAACCTCAGTAAATGGTTATTTTGAAATTGTAATTTTCCAAATTAAAAAGGTCTCAGGTTGTACTCCTAGAAAGTGCACTTTGAAAACTTTTCCTGGATTAAATGAGTTATTCAAAACACAAGCACCCAAATCTCTGCATTCCCAGCAAGAAAGCAAAAGCAGGAAACATTTGGGGCAGAGCCACACATTTATGCGTGTAACTATTGAGGGGCATACATTCTGCCCCTACATTTATTTCAAGGTTTTTTTTGCCCCAAACAGTGATGAATTATTGAAAAATCCCTTCATTTTTAAAATGCTTTCTTCCTCATACAGAGGAATGGATTGACTGAGAACATACACATTCTGAGTTTCCTTCTTCTTGAGGTTGAAAGCATATGAAAGTTTAGCCTTTAATGAAGACTGGCATGAATACAACAAAATGACATCTCCCCCACGGAAAATCTTGCCAGGCCTGCTCAGCGTCAGTATGTCCTTCAGGGACACCTGCAAACTAATAATTTTCAAGACATATTTTTTTTTCTGAATAATTTTTATTATTTAATTTATTTTATTTTTCAAATAACTTTCCAGTTGACAACACCGTGATCTTCATTCTAAAGTCATTCCCGTGCCTATTAAGGGGAAGCACTGAGGAACTTTTGCAGGGTGAGACCCTAAGTCCTTCAAACGGACCCATGCATCATGGGTAAGGTGCAAATGCACACCGAGGAGTTCTGAATGGTGAGCGACCTGAGGTGAACTGAGAGCGTCTCAGGGCCCAGGCTTGTTTCTCGTGGTCCCCCGTTTGTGTCTGGCCCTGGAGGCTGGGTTCTAAGACGCCGTTATGCACTCACTGACCTTTTGGTGCTTGTGCTGGAGATAGGCAGGTAGTCCATGACAGCGATGTATACGTACTGTTTGGCATCATCTATCACACTGTAGATAGCATCGATATCGAAGCTTCTGTTTTTAGGGCAAAAGAGTTTGGGAGAATTCTGTGAAAACACAAAAACCAAACTTTCAGAGGATTAATTTTTGTCAGCTGGGGCTTTCTCTTTTTTGTTGCCTTTTTTTTTTTTTTAAGGTGTTTTAATGGATCTTGGCTTGCAAGTAAAGTTTTGCAAACCACCTTTCCAGTTCTTGAGATCAGACAAGTTATGTATGTGATCCTAGCATAGCTGAGGCCTGTTCAGATGAAGGTGTGGCAGGATGGGTCTCCAGGATGTCCCTTTACGTCTGCTTTGGGAGGGAATTCTTGCTTTCAATACCCACACCTCTGATTTTGGGAGGAGCACTGTAGCTCTAAACTTAGGGGACTCTGGCGAATGCCCTGTCATGCAGAGCTGCTAATTTTCTCAGGCATTGCTGTATAATATATATAATACACATACTGCAACCAATTTACTCAAAAAGTCATTTCATTAGAAAGGTGATACGGCCATGAAAATGTCATCTTCCCCTGAGGGGAACAACACGGTGGCAAGTGGAGGGGCACCCATAATCAGAGGGGTGCTTTATACCGAAAGTCTGAATACATGGTTTCTGGAACTGCCTGCCATGGCAGTATTGGGTCCCTCATCCAAAGCTCAGGAACTCCCTGCACTGTCCTGCTGGGCATCCCCATCCCGGCTTAGACAGAGGGAAGACCAAGCGGTTGTTCTGGATGCCCAACCGAGATGGTTGTGGAGCAGGGAGGCCGGAAAGGAGCCTGGTCAAGGCCACACACCCTCCAGGCATCCCTGCTCAGAAAGTCACCTCGGCAGCTGACTATCAGATTGAGTTTTTGATCAGTTAAATTGTTTTGCTTTTGGAATGATGAGCTTCCAAGTCTTTTAAAAAGACTAATACCAAAAAAACAAAACAAACAAACAAAAAACCCTCATGAAAAAACATAAAAGAACAGAAACAAACGAACAACAACAACAAAACCCACACAAAAGTAATAAAAAATAAAACAGATGAAACCCAGTGCTGTCCTACACCCTTTCCCCAGCACACACATCTCAGATACTCCACCTGTCCCCGGGACAGGTGCTCCTGCTTCTATAGCATCTCCTGGGTCTCCCTCTCCTTCCTGACTGCCGTTCCTCTCATCCAGACCCTAGTGCTCTTGCTGGTGTTTTTACACATCATTTCCTTGTCACCATGATGTAAACACACACACACACACACACACACACACACACACACACACACACGTCAGCCAGCATTCCTGGTGTCTGGGAATCCAGCCTGAACTCATCGGGGGGATGTATGTATGGCCCTCTGCGCTCTGTATCTACAGCTTCTCTGCCTCCCTGCTGGACTGGCCACCATGCCCTCCATGCCCCAAAGGGAAGAAGTAATGGCCTTGCTCCCATCTGTCTGCCCTGTGCGTTTGCTCCTGCCAGCATTTCTGGCCCATGTTTCCCTATTCTTGCCCATCAGAGTCCTATGCTTTCTCTAAGTTCCAGCTCAAGGACGAGCCCCTCTGTGAAACCTCTTTATTTCCCCACGCAGAGGCTCCTTCTCCCTTCTCCCATAATATGATTTGTCTGTGATATTATTTAGCCTATTGAATGGATAATTACTTGCACTTGCTGGATTTTAGGGGTTGTATTCACTCATTTTTCTATTTCCATCAATACATTCAGTATTGAAATTACTTAATTTCAGCTCAGCCTGTTGGGTCTGCTTTAAATATTAGCTCCAGACGAGACCCTCAGCCAGCCCTGACACGTGGTCCAATGCCCACGTTTTTGTTTCAGGAGTTTCCTGGACTTCCTTGTGTGTTCCCAAAACTAGTTTGGTTTCAGGGAGGAACAAATTGAGGCATAGAGTCATCAGTCTCTTCACATTTGCTCTTATCCTGCAAGTCTGGACATTGTGCTTCTCGGTAATCCAGGCCAGGCTCCAGCATTTAGAACCTATAGCGTCTCAGCTGTGACCCTCCTGCTTGCTGAGCCTCATACCCTAAAGGGGGCAGTTAATAACAGAACACACCTCTCACATTGTCTGGGCTCAGAGCCTCTCTTCTGTGCTTGCTCTCATTCGTTCAGCAAATACTACTAAGTGCCTGCCATGCTCCAGCTCTAGTCTAGCCACTTGGCACATGTCAGTGGCCCAAATAAGATGCTTGCTTCATGGCACTTCATTCGAGCACCTGTTGCATGCTGTTGCCTTCATCTGTCTGAATGCTTCGGTACTAGCTTGTGCACTGTTGGGTTGTGTATCTCCAGCACCTCTTTATCTCCGTGCCACTCCTAGCACGTGTTATAGATCAGTATCCGTGGACCAAGCATGAGAGTGCTTCTTAAATTAATCAGCGTCACAGGTCTGAGTGACTCCCCCAATCTCCACCCCCAGTGGACTTGGTTCACGATAGGTATTTCCATCCACATGGGAATGGCTCTTTATTTGCACTTGCCAGGTCGCATTGTTTCCTATGGTCCCATCGCCGAAGCCGACGCCTAGAGCATGGCAGGTGCTCCGTGTGTTTATTAGGGAAATGCAGGACTAGTTGTGTCAGTCCCCCAGCCCTGGGGGCATGATGGTGCTTGATGGTGTGTTTAGAGTCTGCTACCTTTGAAAATAGTATCTGGATATACTAATGGTTTCAAAACGTCTGCTTAAGGTGTAAGTGAATGAACAACACCACAAAGAATGATCTACTGATCAGGTAGAGGAAATTAACTAGTTCCAATAGTTTAATTAGAGAGAAGGCTGTTCAGTGTCCTTCTTATTGGTCCTGAATTAATTTTCTGAGCCTTGCACTGTGCACTCCTTTATTATGGGAAAGAGCAGGAAAACAGATCCTTCTCTTTGTTTCGGCTCTGTGATAACCTTTCACCACTCAAGGGATCTCCTGCACCTGCTTCTAGGCAGTATGTTTCTCTCTTAGATCAATCAGTGCCTTATACATGCACGAACCTTGTTTTGTATATTCATTAAATACTTGCCTTAGAAGGCTTCTGATTTATTTCACAACAGTTCCCTGGTTTGTAAAAAGGCCATACTTCATCCCAAGAATATATAAGTTAAAATATATTAAACACAAAAAGCTGGCCCACGGAATGGGAGAAAATATTTGCAAATTGTATATCTGATAAAAGACTTATATGCGGAATGTATAGGAACACTTACAACTCAATAATAAAAATCCAAGTAAGCTCATTTGAAAAGTGGACAAAGGATTGAATAGACATGTCTCAAAAAAGATAAACAAATGGCCAATGAACACATTAAAATATACAAATAAAAACCACAGTGACATACCATTTCACACCCACACACCCGCCAGGAGGGGTGAAATAAAATAGAAAATAACAAGCATTTTGGCAAAGATGTGGAGAAACTGGAGCTGTCATTTATTGCTGGTGGAACTGTAAAATGAGACAGCCAGTTTGGCGAACAGTTTGTCAGTCTCTTAAAATGTTCAGCACAGGGTTATCATATCACCCAACAGTGCCTGCCGCTCCTGAGTATACACCCCAAAGCACTGGAAACAGGTGTTCAAATAAAACCTTGTATGTGAAGGTTCAAAGCAGCATTCTTCACAGGAGCCAGAAGATAGAAACACCCAAATGTTCATCAACTGATGGACGAATAAACCAAATGTGATGTATCCATACAATGGAATATCATTTGACTATAAAAAAGGAATGACGTACTGATCCATGCTGTAACATTAACGGACTCTGAGAACATTATACTAAGTGAAAGGAGTCAATTACAAAAGATGACATACTGTTGGGGCGCCTGGGTGGCTCAGTCGGTTAAGCGTCTGACTCTTGATTTTGGCTCAGGTCATGATCTCAGGGTCATGAGATCGAGCCCTATGTCAGGCTCCTTGCTCAGTGGGGAGTCTGCTTAAGATTCTCTCTCTCCCTCTGCTCCCTCCTGTGCTCACTCTCTCTCTCAAACAAATAAATAAATCTTAAAAAAAAGACTACATACTGTCTTATTCCATTTATATGAAATGCTAGAGAAAAGAGAATCCTAAGAGACAGACAGGAGATGAGTGGTTGCCAGGGGCTGGGGGAAGGGGAATATGGAGAGTGGCCCCTAATGGGTGTGGTGTTTTCTTTGTGGTGATGACAATATTCTAAATTAGATGGTGGGGATAGTTGCACAGCTCTGACTACACTAAAACCCACTGAATCATATACTTTGGAAGGATGAATTTCATGGAATGTAAAGTCTTTCTCAATAAAGCTATTAAAATGTAATTAACAATGCGCAGGGGACTGTAACAGCACCACAATCTACTTAATATCTGCACTCAATCACTAAATGCATCTTAATACACATGACTGGATGGGTGAAGGACACAGTAATGAGAAATGAGATCTGTCTAGCAGCCAGATCAGTAAGAACAGACCTTGAGGGGCACCTGGGGAGCTCTGTCGGTTAAGCACCTGACTTTGGCTCAGGTCATGATCCCAGGGTCCTGGGATAGAGTCCCAAGTAGGGCTCCCTGCTCAGTGGGGAGCCTGCTTCTCCCTCTGCCCCCTGCTCATGCTCTCTCTTGCTAGCTCTCTCAAATAAATAAATAAAATCTTCAAAAAAAAAAAAAAGAACAGACCTTGAACCAACTAGTACTGATCTTGGAAAGCAAATTTATAATCTCCAGGGCTCTAAAAAGAAATCTACAAGATAAGACAAAAACTCAGCCAACTATGGTTCCTGTTTCTGATTTCATGGGAAAGGTAAGAAAATCGAAACTATGTGGCCCCAAGTAATTAGAGATCACAGAGTTAAATCTCACCAAGCATCTCTTTGCATTCCATGAGAAAACTAGAAATAATCCATGTTTATATCATAACTTAAAATTTATATTTAACCATGCTAAGTTATTAATCATCCAAAATCTAATTTGGGGAATGGTAATTCTTAAGGTATTCAATAATATTTTTGCGTGCATGTGTTAATTTAACTTGGGACTGTGAGATTATAAAAATATACTATTTTAAGATATTTTACAAAAAATACTTTGAATTTAAATAAATTTGTCTTGACATTTGTTTGGCATGTATTACTCAGAAAATTATATGCATCCTAGAACTTCTTATTAAAATTACTACTAATAAAACCAATCCCACATTTATTGCTGCTTTTAGGGAGCTGTGAGTAACATGCTGGGAATACCAATGATGAAGATGGTCCAGTATATGGCCTTTGGAGCCTTTTAAATAGTGGGAGAGATGATCAATTAACAAAGAGTTATGAGAATGTGATAAATGCTACAACAGGGATGAGATCAAGGAGCTTTGGGCAAATGATAACCAATTCCAATGGCAGGGGGTCTGACTTTATTTTATACCTGCAAGATTTTATACCTCTGCAAAAATGGTGTTCAATTAATATCCGTTAAATTGAAATTCAAAGGTAGGCTTGATATTAATAGGAAGTAGAAAATAAAATAATAGGTTAAAATAATATAATAAATAATTTAGAAAGCAGAGACATTGTATAGTTTAGAAGACTATACCTGGAGGCATGTTCCAAACTCTACTTATTTTGTGGTAAATCGTTTAATAAAAAGAAATTTGTAAATCTGCCCTAGAATACAACAAAGGCCTATGTTTTAGTAGATTTTATTAAAGGACTGGCCTTCTCTCTGGGGTAGGTATGTTAATTTTGGGATCAACAAAAGGGACTCCCCCAGCTTTTTAAGAGTCAGAATGTAAATGTACACAAAACCCACGTTCATCTATCTCTACGTTTCAAACCATAAATTCAAAATTTGGCAATTGTCTGAAATCTGCTGATAATTCATCTATTCCTTGCTGCTTTCAATCTGTTTTATTGGAGCTGGTTGAGTAAGTGTCCTTGGGTTGTCATGTCATCCTGTTACCTTCTGGATTAAGGGTTCCTTGGCAAATTTCTTTCTTTTTTAAATTAATTTATTTTTTAAATTTTATTATGTTATGTTAGTCACCATACAATACATCATTTGTTTTTGATGTAGTGTTCCATGATCCATTGTTTTCGTATAACACCCAGTGCTCCATGCAGTACATGCCCTCCTTAATACCCATCACCAGGCTAACCCATCCCCCCACTCTCCTCCCCTCTAGAACCCTGTTTGGCAAATTTCTTATGGCTACTCACTACAAATTCAGAATAATAGCTGGCCTTCTTATAGGGTTGTCTTGAGAGGAAATGAAATTGAATACATGAAATAATTTTGCTTGTAAAATGCCCTATACAATATGCTACTTGCGGCTGCATTGTGGACCTCCTGAATATTGAAAAAAAAGATTTTTTTTTTAGCTTGGTTTGAAGAAAATCTTTCAGTCTGTGTTCTGCTATTCACATTTATATGAATTTGTTAAGACAAACACCTTAAGACAAAAAACATCCTCTTTTGTCTCAATTGCTACATGTTTAAATTTTCAGACTGTGCTTTCATTTTAATTGGCAAAAAGGAGAGAACTCCCTTTTCAGTGAGAAGCTCTTCGGCAATATAAAAGTTGCCGGAGACGAACCATGAGAGACTATGGACTCTGAGAAACAAACTGAGGGTTCTAGAGTTTTGGGGATTGGGGGGTTGGGTTAGCCTGGTGATGGGTATTAAAGAAGGCATATTCTGCACGGTGCACTGGGTGTTAAACGCAAACAATGAATCATGGAACACTGCATCAAAAACTAATGATGTAATGTATGGTGATTAACATAACATAATAAAATATAAAAGTTGCTGGTATAAAAGCACTGTTGTCAGTGGAGGATCGGCATGTTGAATTGGGAGCACGGTTTTAAGAAGTTTATCTGAGCACCAGGATCAATTTAGAATTCTAAGGTCTCACCCCAATCCTGTGGCTCAGATCCTGCATAAGGGTGGGGGGCTCTAAATCTGCATTTTAAACAGGCTCCCCAGCCAGTTCTTAATTAAAGTGTGGGGGCCAGGGCCATAGGCACAGATATTCACATTGCCCATTCCCAGTGACACTGTGGGACAGCTGTGGTGTGGCAGGGGGGTGGATGCGGGGTGACGGGCGATGGTTTTCAGTGTAGACAGGGGCTTGAGGTTGTGCCCTGCCCTCAGCCTCAGTGAGGTACAAACGGCTTTCCTTTTATCTGTTTTTGCACACTGGGGTTCCCTCAGATTTGTTTCATCAAAGGAGGATTCCATTGCTAAAAAACAAGCCTGAGAATCACTGAGGTAGGGCACTGAAAATAGGATCCAGTGTCAGGAGACCTGGGAGCTGGTGCTTCTCTTGTCACCTGCCATCTGAGGGTCTTTGTGCTGGAAGATAAGCCTCAATACCTCCGTGTGTGACAGGCTCACAAAGCTGGGTCTATCTTAACAGAGGACCGTGGCGATCAAAACAGGCAATGCAAAGTATCAGGGGTTGGAATGAGTATTAACGTTCATTACTGTTCTCATCACTGGGGACAGCATATGGTTAGGCCTAAGAGTGGGCGTATCTTACCTCTTCAAGAGATGGGACAGAACTGATCTTTAGAATTCAGGTTTGCCCAGCACCAGATCACACTCAAACATTCCAACTTGGGAGGAAGGAGGAGCAAGAAGGCAAGGACTCACCGACACAAAGGCTTGAGATTTGGTTTCGTTCAACTGAAGCTGCAGTTTCTTCTCATTGTCGTAGACGCCATAGAGCCTCTTGGACCAGGTCTGAGGCACTCTGTTCTTGAATTTTAATGAGCTGTACAGAGCGAATATCCTCTGTAAGTCCAGGACCAGGCAGCTGCAGTTGTAGAAGATGACACCGAGCTCTTTCATCTGTGGAATTAAAATAGAAAGCATTGATGGGTGTACAACTGATGGTGCTATTTTCAGAGGAAAAAGATGCACAAGAATGCAGTTGTGGTGACTTCCTCTCTTGCAGCTGTTATTCAGAAGTGTGTAGATATAGTCACAGCATGGGATATAGAAGTGTGCTTCAATATTTAAGGAGAACTTCGGCTTGCAATTTTGCATTTGGGATCTTTTCCATATTCACCTCCATTTTTCTTTTTTTTTCTTTTTTTAGATTTTATTTATTTCAGAGAGAGAGAGAGAGAGCAAGCGCAAGCATGAGCAGGGAGAAGGGCAGAGGGAGAAGCAAACTCCCCACTGAGCCTGGAGCCCTAGGGGGTTTCAATCCCAGGACCCTGGGATCATGACTTGAGCCGAAGGCAGATGTTTAACAGACTGAGCCACCCAGACTCCCCCACCTCCATTTTTCATATCAGCTCTCCAGATTCATTTTCTTAAAATGTTTTTTCATATGAATCCTTAAATCATGCAGCAATATAAAGGAAGGGCAGCTTCGGGGAATGGTTTAGATCACGGGTTCTGAAGCCAAACTGCCTGGAATCGTGCTCAGTTCTACAGCTTGGGTCTAACTCAGAAGCCTGTATGCCTAACCACTATGTTAATACCCCACTTAGCACATGACTAGAATACAATCCATGGTACCTATTGCTATTAATTCTGTGATGCCTTCTCTCGCCAACCCGTTTCCTGCTTTGTCTAGTACTATACCTGGTGCCTATTTCTGATGTGGCATATATCATAATTTAAAAAAATGTGTCTGTCTGTTTCCCTTAAGTGACTCCATAGTCTCTGAAGACACTATATCAGGTTCCTTTTTTTCCAGTGCTGGATTATGGTACTTGCTTAGAAAATGTTTTTTGGATGAATTGTCTGGCCTTTGAAATGAGTAAATGGTGGTCAGAGACAAAAACGAGTTCCCTTCTGAATTCAGGAGCCCTAGCTCTAGGTCAGCCTCATGCCCTCTGAACCTGAGTACATGAATTTAACATGAATCTCTTCCGGTGCCAAGGGAGCAGAAAACCTAGAGATGGCCACGTCCAGAGACCCAGTCGCAAGATTTTCACAAGCATGGTGCTCCATGATCAGTATCAGTGGCAGGCCTTACATTGGTCAGTGGCTAACTGTCCTCTAGATGTGCTTCCTGCACCTACCGGCACTGGGGCGCAGAGACCAAGATGAGCTTATCTTTTGAATGTGGACTGCCTTAAAAGAGTCCACACTATACAAGCCCCAATGGAGTAAGAGATAGAATACCACTGAAAGTAGAAATCCAGAGAACCATTTGATTTTTGCCACCAAAAAGCAAACACATCGACCATTATTCACTTTAACTATGCTTGGATCTTGTTGGTGTCCTTTAGTTTTTCCACATCAGACCTTTAGTGTTCTTAGGTTATTTGCTCACACATGGCAAACATGTATGTTTGGAGACCTCCAATCAAAGGTTGAATAAGAATGTCATGCTTCCCTGTCCACATGTTTACTTAGGAATAGATGTCCCCTAGTTTTCAGGTGGAGGTTATGTCCTCTTTGCTGCAGTTGGGGGTAGATCAAAGCTAACAATAGTTATTGGGGAACAAAGCCATTTTCCTCCCACCCCGTCATTCTCCACTGCCTCTCTCCTAATATGTAGAATGATATTAAATGTAGTCACAACACTATTGCAAGCTCCTCATAATTGTGAAGAAAGAAAGCCACTCTTTAATATCATATGACATGACTAACCTGGGTAAGCATTAATGTGAAATTTGACATCTAGAAGGGTGCCAGGATGGTAATGCTGATAGCCTTTTTCTGCCAATGAATGAGAGAGAAGCCTCTCGATATGACCTAATCAGGACACAGCAGGTCATCTTCTAGAACGAGCTCTGAAGACAGACTAACTCCACCATGGGCTTTGCACTGAACCTCATCTGTAAATGGGTATACATCAGGGGATTGCTATGAAGAATAGATGGAACAAAATGCATGTACAACATTTATCTAAATGCCTGGCTCAAATAGTGTTAGCTTCAGCTATACCAAGACCCAGATCTCTTCTGCTCCTCCTGAGAAGGATACTTCTGCTATACTCTTGCTTGAAAGGGTCACAAATGTGTTTGAATCAAAGAAGAGAGGTGGCAAAATTCTTTATATGTGAACAATTTTACTTTAACCACCAACAGATTCCAGACACTTTAGTCACAAATGTGAGGACACCGCCATTTGTGGTGGGTAGTTGTTGCCAGAATGGTCACAACAGAATGGCTATTTCAAATGTATGAAATACAACAGTTTCACTTGCTTCTCAAGGTCAGCCCTTGCTGGTCTTGAACTTAAGCCTTCATCAGATGATGTTGGGGGTGGCAGAAGCAGAGCATAGTAGCTGGAAAGAATGGGTGATAATGAAATAAGGAGGTGCCACTGGATATAGCTAAAGCAGGATACCACAGGGAAAAGGAGTCCATTAAGGTGAGACCATGGGGTAACGTAAATGGCTGGTGAAGCCTCTCTACAGGGGCAGGAGAATGACTACAGGTTTGGGCCAAGGCAGTGACAAATTAGAGTGGTTGTACCAGCTTTATGTGGACTTCTCCACTGAAGTCTCAAATCTGGACATGCAGGATGTTTGTAAAGTGTCCATCCTGTACATGAAGGAAGGCCTGGTGGAGGGAACAGTGACCTTCCTTGGACCTCCTCTACATTACCTGAGTCTGTGGAACTCAGTGCCCAGACCTTTGAAGCCAATGGCCCCTAGTAGTCAACCCATGGGGGAGGCAGCTTGAGAGTAAAAATTAAAGGCTCTGGCCAATGGGTTTCCAGGGAATTTTATCATTTTCAATAAATTTTTTTAAAAAGGACTTATCTAATGTTTAAATTACCAACTAGATCTCGACAAAGTGGATATACAGGAAACATACTTCCACATAATAAAGGCCATCTATGAAAAACCCATAGCTAATATCAAACTCAATGGTGAAAAACTGAGAGCTTTTCCCCTAAGGTCAGGAACAAGACAAGGATATCCACTCTTGCCACTTTTATCCAACATAGCACTAGAAGTCCTAGCTATGGCACTTAGATAAGAAAAATAAATAAAAGGCATCTATATTGGTAAACAAGAGTTAAACTTCATTATTTGAAGATGACATGATACTATACATAGAAAACCCTAGACTCCACCCAAAACTAATAGAACTAACAAATGAATTCAGTAAAGTTGAAGAATGCAAAATTAATACCCAGCACTTCTACACACTACTAATAAGACTAATAAGAAAGTAGCAGAAAAAGAAATTAAGAAAACAACACCATTTACAAGTGCACCAAAAAGAATAAAATACCTAGGGATAAACTTAACCTAGGAGGTGAAAGACCTGTACTCTGAAAACTATAAAACACTGATGAAAGAAATTGAAGATGACACAAATAAATGGAAAGACATTCCATGCTCATAGACTGGACGAATTAATATTGCTAAAATGTTCATACTACCCAAAGCAATCTACAGATTCAATACAATCCCTATGAAAATGCAAACATCATTTTTCACAGAACAGGAACAAATAATACCAAAATTTGCATGGAACACAAAAGATCCTGAATAACCAAAGCAATCTTGAAATAGAAGAACAAAGCTGGAGGTATCACAATCCAGACTTCAAGATATACTACAAAGCTGTGGTAATCAAAAACAGTATGGTACTGGCACAAAAACAGACACATAGATCAATGGAACAGAATAGAGCACCCAGAAATAAATCCATACTTCTGTGGTCAATTAACTCATGATAGAGGAGGCAAGAATATACAATGGGGAAAAGACAGTCTCTTCCCACTAAATGGTGCTGGGAAAGCTGGGCAGCTACATGCAAAAGAATGAAACTGGACCATTTTCTTTCACCATACACACAAAAAAACTCAAAATGTATGAAAAACCTAAATGTGAGACCTGAAACCACAAGACTCCTAGAGGAGAACACAGGCAGTAATCTCTCTGGCATTGGTTATAGAAACATGTCTCTGTCTCCTAAGGCAACAGAAACAAATGCAAAAAATAAACTATTGGGACCTCATCAAGATAAAAAGCATTTGCACAGTCAAAGAAACTGTCTACAAAACAAAAAGATAACCTACCGAATGGGAGAAGATACTTGCAAATGATATATCCTATGAGGGTTTGGTATCCAAAACATATAAAGAACTTATACAACTCAACACCAAAACCCCCAAACAATCCAATTAAAAAATGGACAGAGGACCTGTATAGACATTTTTCCAAAGAAGATATACAGATGGCCAACAGACACATGAAGAGATGCTCAACATCACTATTCATCAGGAAAATGCAAACCAAAAGCACAAGATGGTATCACCTTACACCTGTCAGAATGGCTAAAATTAAAAAAAAAGATAAGAAATGACAAATGTTGGTGAGGATGAGGGGCGAAAGGAACCCTCATGCACTATCGGTGGGACTGTAAATTGGTGCTGCTACTGTGGAAAACAATATAGAGGTTCCTACAAAACTTAAGAATACAACTACCATATGACCCAATAATTCCACTATTTGGTACTTACCCAAAGATAATTAAAACATTAATTTGAAAAGGTATATGCTGTTTGTTGCAGCATTATTTACAATAGCTCAGATATGCAAGCAACCTGTGTCCGATAGATGAATGGATAAGGAAGATGTGATTGTGTGTGTGTGTGTGTGTAATGGAATAGTACACAGCCATAAAAAGGGATGAGATTGTGTCATTTGAGACCTGGAGGGTATTATGCTAAGTGAAATAAGTAAAATACTTTTCTAATATGTAGCAGAGCTCACGTATGACCCAGTTTGTTTGAACTCCTTAATCTGTTTCTTTCCATTGCACCTCCTGCCTTAGGCTGTCTGTACCCCTATATCCTTAGGTGGGGGATGTCCCTAGCACTTTCTTCCATTCAAAAAGAATACTTTATTTAAAGAGGGCTTCACT